TGTATCCCCTGCCAGCCACCTCGTTCCCCCCCCCCCAAAGTAGCCCAGCTGACTGTCCACCCTCAGCCTCTCGTGCTCCTCCTCTCAAAGAGCTTTGGCCATTTTTTTGCATGTCTGCCACTCCCCGCTGAAGGCAGGGGAGGGGATGTTTCCTGAAGCCCTCTCTGCCCGTACATTTCACGCTGCCATTTCTACTGAGTTGATGCTGTACTGCTGTACTGACACGGAGCATGATGGACTCCCCCCTCGAATTACAAGTGGGAAGCAAAATACCAGCCCACCTGCTCTGCAGTTTCCAGAACTCACTAAGCCTCTTAACTATGCCGTCCCCCACCCAACACACACAAGGTTTGGTCTCTGAAGGGTAAGAGGGTGTAGGGAGCAGGTCTCGACTTGGGTCTAAACTCTTGGCCACCACGAACCTTTTCTACCAGGTTCTTCCCTATGCCTACTGCTCATTCCTCCCCCCAACCCCCTCTTTGGTCCAGAAGGGGCTTTTCCATTCATTTTCATATTCTGTCCTTACCACTCTGTGGATTTAGTAGAACTGTGTGCTCTGACTCCCCAGACTCTGATTCTTGATATTTTTCAGGGCTAACTTTTAAAACTTAAATCTTTCTCAACAAACCCTGATTCTTACAAATGAAAGGTTTAACCTTCAACAGTGTTCCTCTGAAATGAGTTTTAGGAGCCAGTTCTGGAAGTCAAAAGATGAACATCTTTCCTTATTCTCATCCCCCTGGTACAGTGGATGGCTCAGCCTCCAGGAAGGAGGGGCCCAGGGCAACCAGGTTCACCAGGGCTGGGAAAAAAAGCATCAGAGAACTCTCAGCTTCCCCACGAGTGTGGGAGTGGTGGTGGTGGGGGGGGGGGGTGTCAGGCTGCCTTCTTTGGATCAACTCTCCCACTAAAACAAAAATAAATGGCGAGTAGAACATTTTTAAACCTCACTGTTAAAGCCAAAAGGTGGGGATGTCTCAGACCAGCTGAGAGACAAACCCCTACAACCAACCAGGGAGGGAAGTAAGCAGGCTATTAGACTGTCAGAGCCCCTGATGCCCTGTGGGCACCTGCCAGTACTGCTCACTTAAGCTTTGAATCAGTGGCCATACAAGCCAAGAAAGAAAGAATTCAATGGCTAGAGCCTATAAACATTGGGGAGCAGGTGTCATGATCTTTCACTGCATCTATATCTTTGGGGTAAATCCCCAGCAGTGCAATTGCTGGGTCGTAGGGCAGGTCTATTTTTAACTCTTTGAGGAACCTCCACAGTTTTCCAGAGTGGCTGCACCAGTTCACATTCCCACCAACAGTACAAGAGGGCTCCCCTTTATCTCATCCTCTCCAGCAATCGGAGGACAGTCATCACATGGTTTCACTCATACGGGGAATATAAAAAATAGTGAAAGGGATCATAAGGGAAAGGAAAGAAAATGAGTGAGAAAAATCAGAGAGGGTGACAAAACAGGAGAGACTCCTAACTCTGGGAAACAAACAAAGGGGTAGTAGAAGGGGAGGTGGGCGGGGGCCGGGGGACTGAGTGACAGGTACTGAGGGGGCACTTGATGGGATGTGCACTGGGTGTTATACTGTATGTTGGCAATTCAAACTCCAATAAAAAAAATATACAGAAAAACAAAGGCATTCCCAGGCTGAGGGGCCTGGTGGGTAACTTCCCCTATCTTAAGCTGGTCCTCCCAAGGAGCTACCCTCTCAGGGTATAGATCTTACCCCCTTCTTCCCCTAATCCTAGTGGACTGCAGAGAAGCCTTAGTGCTAAGTCAAGCTTAAGAAGAAAAAGGCAAGGATAAATTATCAATAGGAATAAATGGCCGCATATCAGGCTTTGCTCAGATTTGCAGCCCCTTGCCTGAATTAGTCAAAAAGAAGCTTAAGTCGACAATCTCATTTAAGGTCATCCGTGACTTTTAATAACTCCAGGGACCTGGGAAACACAAACATGAAGCCTCTCTGGAGGAGGGCATATCTGTTTTACACCTGGGGGAGCCCCCCTACCCCCTACAAATGATTAATCAGGGGCATTGACTGGCAAGTAGTCAAAAATAACACAAAAATCACACCATCGTTTCAAGAGTTGCAGAGAAAACATTTGATAAAATTCATTTATGGCAAAAGCTCCTAAACTGGAAATAGCTGGGAATGTCTCTTAAAGTCACATATTTGTCAGGATAGACCAGGTTAGTCTACCATAACAAATCCCCCAATTTCAAGAGCTTAGCACATTAATCAACTTTTCTCTCTCATCAGATAAATCCCATGTATATCCTGAAGAGCTACAGGGCAATTCCCTGCCCAGCTGTGTCTCAGGAATCCTAGTAAGCCCCACCCATGGCTTTGCTTCCTTAATTATAGCTTTCAGATTCATTATAAAAGAGTTGGAGGGTCAGCAGAGTTTTTATGGCCAAGTTTAGATGGGGTATACATCACTTCCACCTACATCCCATTGACTTACAGCTCAGTGAGATCACATAAACCCAACCTAATTTCAAGAACAGATATATTAGCTTCCTATGTGCCCAGGAAGAGGGAGAAAAAGTTTTAATGAACACATGGCATGGTCTTTCCTACAACTGAAAAAGGATATCTACAGAAAACTTGCAGCAGATATCGTATGCAATTCTGAAACTCAAAAGCTTTTCCTCTGATAGTGGCAATAAGGCAAAGAACTGCTAACACCACCTCTATCCGGCATCATGCGAGAGGTCTTCAGTGGTGTAGTGAGAAAAACAAAAGCTAGGGATGCCTGGGTGGCTCAGTGGTTGAGCGTTTGCCTTCGGCTCAGGTCGTAATCCCAGAGTCCCTGTATCGAGTCCCACATTGGGCTCCCTGCATGGAGCCTGCTTCTCCCTCTGCCTATGTCTCTGCCTCTCTGTCTCTCATGAATAAATAAATAAAATATTTTTAAAAAAGAAAGAAAAACAAAAGCCAGGGATTGGAAATGTGGCAAATTTTGTCAGTATTTTCAGATAGTACATTTTGAACAGAAGATTCAAAAGACTATACAGATAAACAATTAGAATAAGAGGGCTTAGCTAGGTTACTGGATATATGTATGCATCCAAGATGCTTAAATCATTTCTATATATTGGCAACAAATAGAATAAAAAAACTTTTTAGGCTGTTATTTATTCATTCATGAGAGACACAGAGAGGCAGAGACATAGGCAGAGGGAGAAGCAGGCTCCCCATGGGGAGCCCGATGTGGGACTCTATCCCAGGACCCCCGGATCACAACCTGAGCCAAAGGCAGACCCTCAAACACTGAATCACCCAGGTGCCCCATAAAAAAGATTTTTTAAATGCCATTTATAGTGGCATCCAAAAAATCAAGTGTCTAGGAATAAATCTTACAAAAGATGTTTAAGTCCTCTACAAGAAAAACTGTAAAGCTTTATCTAAGTATATTTAAGGAAATCTAAACAAGTGGAAAGATATACCGTGCTTGTGGATTAGAAGGCTAAAAATTGTAAAGACATGAGTCCTCCCTAAATTGAATTATAAATTCAGTTCGATTCCTACTGAAATTTCTCGGGGTAGGGCAGGGGCAAGGGGTAGTGTTTCATTTGGGGAATCTGACAAGCTTGTTGTAAAATTTATACGGAAAATACAAAAAGTCAAGAATTGCCAAGACAGTCTTGAAGAAGAACCAGGTGGGAGGATTTGCTTAACCAGATATCAAGATGTGTAATAAAGCTATATAAAGCAAAGCACAGGGATCCCTGGGTGGCGCAGCGGTTTGGCGCCTGCCTTTGGCCCAGGGCGCGATCCTGGAGACCCGGGATCGAATCCCACGTCGGGCTCCCGGTGCATGGAGCCTGCTTCTCCCTCTGCCTATGTTCACTTTACATAAAGTGAAAAAGGCTAAACAAAAATATTCAGTATGATTCCATTTATAAAAGTTTCAGAAGGTAAATGAATCTGTGTTTTTTTAAGGCTACATAAATACATGGTAAAGCTATAAAGGAAAGAATTAATTTTATAAAAGTAAGAAGAGTGATTAACTTCCGCCAGAGTGGGACCTGTGGTAGGGAACATCTGGTGTGGCAGAAGTGCTTATATCTTAATCTAGGTGATGATGAAAGCAGGATATACTTTATAACTGTCAGGCCATATGTGTTTTGTGTTCTTTTATGTGCATATTTTATAATTTTAAAAAATATATCATATACTTAAAATATCATCTTACTATATAAGGATTCCCTAATAGGTCTCCTTAGCACAAGGTCCCGCCCAGCATGTATGATCCCATTTCATATTCAGGAAAACTGAAGTGCAAATGATTAAGTATTTATTTTTCCAGATAGGCTGGTAATTGCCTCGGGTGGACTAGAGAATGATGAAGCTGGAGCCCCCACCCAAGGCTCTTGGAGTCCTGTTCTACTCTTTCCTGGTTCTCCGTGGCTTCCACAATGTCACCCTAGCTCCAAACTTAAAGCTTTCCATTCTCCAGTCCCTGAGCCATACAGCATCACTTACCTACACAACACACGTCTTTCCCAAAGTAGGCCTTCCCATGCCTCCTAGAGCCACCACTTCCCATCTCCTTCCCACCTCCCACCTACCTGGTCCTACCTGGTCCATGCTCACCCCATCTCTTCATCTTTGATTCACAAGACCCCCTGTTGGGGCTAAGAAACTGCATCTATCATCCCAGACCTGATTAGAGGAGGTAGTGCCTCTGTTAAGTCCTATGCAGGAGGACGTCATGATGTTCCTCTAGCATATTCTTACCCTAACTGTCCACACAGCTATCTAGGAGTCTTGTCTGGCCACATCCTCACAGCCTTGCTCCCCAAAGTAGGACTCTGTGCCCTAGAAAGCTGGAGAAGCATGCAGCCCCTGAGGGAGCTGGCCTACCAGGAGAGAATGCCCGGTCTGCTCCCACTCAGGATGAGGCACAGAGTTCTGCGCCTGCCTGGATTCAGGCCACCAGGCAGTCAGTGTCAGCACATACCACACCACTGCTCTCCTTTGCCTAGGACTGTACCAGGTGATCGGCGGTATCATCTCCCCTGTCAACGACAACTACAGGAAGAAAGACCTCGTGGCTGCCCACCACCGGGTGGCCATGGCCCGGCTAGCCCTGCAGACGTCCGACTGGGTCCGGGTGGACCCCTGGGAGAGTGAGCAGGTGCAGTGGATGGAGACAGTGAAGGTGCTGAGGTAATAGTGGACATGCTTGTGTGACGACCAGCGGCTATGGGACACATCTGCCGCAGAGCCCAGCGGGTAGAAGTAGAGACCAGGTATTAAGTAGGGCTTCAGCCAGGCTTTCTCAGCCAAAATCCCAGAAGTGCTTCTTCTCAGAGGGAGAGCGACCAACAGACACACTCTCAAAGAGGTCCTGAGTATAAAAATCACAACCCACTGACTGCCCTTCAGGACGCACTTTCTGGAAACACCCAATCTTGTTTCAGAGGGCTCCAGTGATGCCACCTAGTAGCTGTGAGGCTAGACACTTATGATCTCTGAGACGTATTTCTCACTTGCAAAATGGGGACAATAAAACCTAAGGAGGGTTTTTTTTGTTTTGTTTTATGTAAAGAACTTTCCTGACCCAGATGTCCCGGAAGACTGTTAAGTGGGACACATCATTGACTAGTTAGAAAAGATGGCTTATTATGTAGATGCAGGTTTCAAATTGTACAAATCCTGGGTTCTGTAAATCTAAACTTTTATGTGAAATAGGAAAAAAGGCTATAAATCTAGAAAGTTGCTCAGGATTTTTTTTTTCTTTTGGAACTGTTTTTAGCATCCAGCATAGGTAAATTGCTGTTTCAAAGCCCTGGGAGCACTGGATGTTGGGACAGCGGGTCACTGATGTGTGTCTGACGTGTGTCTGAGAGCTGGTCCTGGGAGTTTGCTGGAGAAGCAGGAAGCCCCACCCAGCCTGGCTATCAAGGGGGACAGGGAGGTGGGCTTGCCTGTCACTAGTGACAGCCATCTCTGCTGGAAGGGATTGCAAATGGAGGGTGTGTCTTTTATCTATTTGGAAGCACTAAGATTGTCAGGAAATAGGAAGCACAAGGGACAGGGTCAAATAATTGGCAGGCCTGTTCACCATAAATCTATTTAGGTCTTCATTTTTTACTCTGCTTCAGAGTCACTTGGTTGAAAACTTCTAGTCAAGGTAAACATTTAGTTACATATCCTGGTTCTGATACTTTGCCTTTTTCTTGGGAAAGCACCAGCTAGAACCATTCAGCAATTCAGTGCTGCTTCAGAACCTACTGCCAAATTAAACGAAGAGCAAATATGAAATAATTGTTAGGATATATGTTTTTTAACATAAAGCATGAATTTATACCTAGATCATCCCTTCAGAACAAGCAGTATAAATTTTTTTTTAATTAAAAAAATTAAAAAAAAAAAAAAAAAGAACAAGCAGTATAGCCAGCTCTCCTCTCTGGAGGATAGCAGAGGGGAATACAAAAAAAAAAAAAAAGAGTAGATAATCCAGCAAATCATTTAGCTTTAACATGTAGTCACAGAGACGCTTCCCTCCTCCACCCTGTGAAGGGCAGTATGGCTGAGGGCCCAGATTTTGGAGACTAGTTTACTAGCTCAGTGACTTGATACAAGTGAGTTAGCCTCTCTGAGCCTCAGTTCCTCACCTAATAAGACGGGGATGACACTGCCTACTTCTCTGAATTAAATGGGATGATGTGGGCAAAATACCTAGTTTATGGTAGGTGCTTAATAATGTTAGCTACCTTCCCTGCATCCCTAACACTGGCCCGTAATTTATCCTCAACACAGATAAGCCATTCCTGGATAAATAGCAACTGACCACAGGACTACATAATATTGTCGCTCCTTCTGCTGCAAAATGCAGGTATGAGCTAAGATTTTATGGAACATTTTCTTTTTTTTTTACTCTGTTCTTTAGTCCAGTGCTTTTCAGCCCTGGCTGCACACTGAATCACCTAGGGAACTTTCAAAAGTACCAAACCCCAAGAGTTGTCCCAGAGACCAGGATGTCATCAGTCTGGGGTGGGGCATTGGAATTTTTAAGGCCCCCCTGGGGATTCTAATGTGTGGCCAGGATTGAGGCCACAGCCTCAGTCACGAAGTAGGTTAATCAGGTTTATGATCACTACCAAGATCCATCCAAACCAGTGGACCTTAGCTGTAGGAATCACCTGGGAAGCTTTTTTAAAATGCTCATCCCCCTGCCCCAACCCCTCCCCCGCAACCCAGGCCCTCAGAGATTGATTTTTTGGTGGGGTCTAGACAGGAGTATTTTTTAGAAGGTCTCCAAATTATATATTTTGTACAGCCAGGGTTGAAAATTCACTGATATAGACAACACAGTTTTTATCAGATAGCTGATTACATTTTTCCCCAATATTTAGAGTGTGCATCATTAGGAAATTTGATTGCTCATGTTTTCCTACAATTACTAAAAACGGTTTTTTTAAGATTGAAAATCTGGTCATTATAAAGTTAGGTGATTTTAGAAGCATAGTAGAAATCACCTTTTGCTCCATTTAGTATCTTCCTGATAGAGTCAACTGTGAATTTACATAGTGACGTCACTATGATGGAAGTTCACAGGGTTCATTGAGGATTCTTTTTTCTCCTTATTGGGCTTCTTATTTTTACTCTAATTTTTTTTTATCTAAGCCAGCTTTCAAGCTTTTAGGACATTTGATAACTTCTTTTGCTCACCTTCTCCCCATGTTGTAGGGGGAGATCCTTAGTCACAATGCCATTTGATGTGGTCCATCATCATCACCATCACTACTGTCATCTCTGGTGCCCCTTTGCAAGCATGATCTTGTGCTATCCTCGTTTTATAGATGAAGAAACAGGTTCAGAGAGGCTAAGTTAATCACAGTTACAAAACAAATAAGCTAGTGGTGGAGCCCAATCTGACTCTGAAGCTATGCTTATGGTCATCTTCAAACCAGTGATCTATGGGTGGGGACACAATGGGACTGACTTTGTTCCTGCCACAATGACTCTCTAATCAGACATCCATGGAGACCTGTGGGGCTGCAGAGGACACAGAGAATGAGGTCCCAGGGTCAGCCCTCAGGCCCAGGGCCCGGCACCCCAGAGCACCACTCAGGCAGGCAACAAGAGGAAGCCATGGCCACTGCCCACACAGGCAGAGTAGAGGTCTGTGAGGAAAATAATTATTCATACATCAGAGTTCAGAGATCATATTCAAGGTAGGGTCAACTTGAACTAGGAGCTTCAAGGTAAGTAAAATAAGAGGACAGTCACCACCACCTTTACTGATCACTATTGTATGGCAAGCTTTTTCAGGTAGGTAATATCTAGTCACCTCAACAACTCTGAAAAGTAGGTGAATTTAGTCCCACTTTACAGATGGGGAAGTGAAGGCTCTTAAAGGATCAGTAACATCCACAGTAATATCCTACCGTTAGAAAGTAGAGGTCAGACTCATGCCTACTTCAGTCTGAGGGGCGATTCCAGACCAACTCAGGAGTGAATCCTCAGACTTGAAGCTTACCAAAACCAAAGCAGACAATAACAGAGACACAGAGTCCAGCTAGGCCCTAAGAAGACTCAACTGAGTCTCCGAGATCATCAGGAAGAACCTTGGACCAGAATTAAATGTATTTGTCCACTCCTTCCAACATTCCTGACTTTAGGTAAGCAGTTCCTGAGGATTAAGAACATAAGAATGAATGAAATGGGCTCAGCGTTCACAGGCGAACAGCCAGTGTTGATTGGGCACTTTCTGTGGATGGGCCAGTGCTAAGCCTCTCCCTGAATCCTCAGTGCGGCTCACAGGGGTGGGTGCAGTCATCGCCCCCCCTCCCCATTCTACAGACTGGAGGCAGACTGCTTAGGGAACCCACCAAGATTCCACAGCTACTAGTTGGAAGCAGAATTCCAAGCAAGCAGTCTAATTCTAAAGCTCCACCTTTACGCTGTGCCTTCCCCTAGTGATAATCAGCACCGAGCTGCTAGGCCAGCGTCTGGCAGGCTAGAAGCGCTTTCTCTCTCACGGCCTGGTGATGCTCGGCAGAGAGACGGTCAGCATTAACTCCCATGATGACCAACAAACAGATGAGGTCACTGAGGCTCTGAGAGTGTCAGGGACTCATCCAAGGTCATACGAGCAAGAAAATCTGAACTCAACCCCCCCCCCCCCCAGTCTGGCTTCAAAGCACCTGTTTTCCCACCAGGCACTTTCTCCTCCCAAACACAGCTCTCATAAATATATATAATCTTGCATTGATACAACGTGTTTGATCAGCTATGTCTTGATTTGCACGCTGGTTGCTAAAGCTGGTTGCTAAAGGCGCCAGGCATTCTGAGCGGGTGTAAGTCCAATCAGATCTGAAATGCGAACACAAAATGAGACCATCCTGCACACTGCTCAGTGCGCTCTGCGTAACTCCTTCAGTCCTCATGACCACCCACGAGAGATCACTATTCCTTGTTACCATGCACAGGGAGACCTGTTGGTCAGGGTCACCCAGCTGGCCCATGGGGTGCTGGGATGCAGCCCAGGCCGTGTGACTCTAAGCCAGATCTTAGTCCTCACCTTGTGCAGTTCTGAATGGTAGTTTATGACAAGAGTGAGCTGTGGGCCAACACTGTGCCAGTGCACACTGCACAGTAGCTCATTTACCTCCACAAAAGCCTAAAAGGCAGGCGTTGTTATATCCTGGCTTTACAAATGACAGTGTCTATTTTGAACTCCAGTCTGATTCTAATAGCCTGTGTCCTCAGTCCCCAACCAACTTTTAAGTGAGGTATTGAAAAACAGTGTTTAAAATGTAGAAATATGCTCACTTCCCCCCTTTCACTGAAGCTCACAGAAGGCAGTGGATGGTCAGGACCCAATCACATCTGCTTCCCACCCAAGCGCCTGGCACAGGCATGGCACCTAGTAGGCCTTCCATGAACATGTGTGGAACCAGCTACCTACCCAAAAGGGGCAAAAGCAGGCTGAGACTTAAACACTGAGACCCCTGGGTGGCTTTGGGGGATGGACATGCCCTGAGCCTGTGTGTTTGCAATGCAGGCATCATCACAGTGAACTGCTCAGATCTCTGCCCCAAACGGAAGGCCCGGACCATGGCAGGGTTGGCTCGACAGCCCGGACAGGTGGGTGCAGACCCTCTTGTCCCTGAGAGGGAGAGATGTCAGGCATCTACCCCCCACCCTCCTTCCCCGGGACCAACTCCCAAGCACGGCTAAGGTTTCTGAGGCTCGCCTGGATGTGGTGACCCTTCCCAGATTGAAAGGTCAAATTAAACCCTTGGCCACCATCCCTTGTAAATCATTATGCTGATTTAGGATTTTCTGCCCCAAAGGAGTTTACCCACCCTTGTGACTTGTGCTTGTGACAAGGATTACAGTCAGGGCTACACGGGGATAAACTGGTGAGTGGTGCTGAGTCCTTTTAAAAGCCTCAGCCTTTCTGAGTACAGAACCCTTAAACTGCGAGAATGATACTTGTGGCCATCTTCCTCAAAGGCTTACTCAGAAGAGGAAACCTATTTTTAGGGGAATTTCAGATATGGATCGTCCTATCAGTTTGTAACCCTGGGTCTCTACCCAGTTGTCAACTCCTGGCATTTGATAGAACCTTGTCAGTTTTGACTTCAAAGCATCCTCCCTAATGGCAGCCCTGGTCCTTGGGGTCAAATGCATAGGCCCCTCATGCAAACAAAGAGAAGCACCTGATGATGGAAGGGCCGGATGTGGAGTAGGGAATCCCTGGCCCCGCTGGGCTGAGTGCCCAGCAGACCCATCTGTGGGGTTTCCTACTGTCCAGTCTCCCAACCATGGGTGGTAGGACACTAGTTCCAGATCAGAAGGGCTCAGGAATGTCACAGTTAAACCAACCTAAAATGGCTTCTTTCCTGCAGGACTTTTCAGAGCCTTTACTATGATCACGTGCATTGCGACTACAAGGAAGAGAACTAGCTCGTCACCATTATCACTTTTTGGTCATGGGACCCTTTTCAACACATACTGGTGCCACCCTGCACCTTCCCCCCACCCCCGGAACACAGACTGGGAAATGCTCTTCTAAAACAAATAGAAAATGCCACCAACCTCTAAAGGTTGCATGCCCCAGTCCCCAAATGCTGGTCAAAGGATCACTCACAGCAGAATCACCTGTGAGGGGTCTAATAATTCTCAGGCCACACCCCAGACCTCCTACTAGAGTAGGAGTCTAAGAAAGGAGGAGTTAACAGCTTCTCCTGTGTCCTCAGCTTTACAGCGTTCATTGTATTCCTCTGGTCTGTCTGCCTCTCTCCACCCCCGCTCCCACCCCCACCCCCAGCCCCAGGTGGGAGCACAGGCAGTGTTAATTGTCAGCCTCCGCCTTCTTTCAGAAGCCTCTCTGGCTCAGCAACTACTCCTACCAGAGTTAAGAGACACTGGCTCAGCACCTCCCCAGGCCAGGCTCTGGACTCAGGTGGAAACAAAGCCCGCCTCACCCCCGACCTTAGGCTAGAGACAGGCTGTGAATGGTGGCGAGTCCAGGCATGGACTGGAGAAGCTGCCCGGAGGAGGAGACACTAGTACCAAGACTCATGGGATCAGTAGGTTATCTGGGGTTGGGGGCCTTTCCGGGCAGAAGGGCAGCTGAGCAAGGCACAAAGGCAGGAAACAGCATGGGTGCCTGACATTCCTTGCTGCGGTGGAATGCTAGAGCTTCCAGTGACAGGCAGGGACCCTCTAGTGACATGGGCAGGATGCCACGCAGAAGCTTCCAGCCTCTCCTGCTCCACCTCTCTGCACATACTTCCAGAATCCTGTCTCCGCTCTTTCAGGACTGCTCCTCCCACCCCTTCCCTTTGACTCCCCTCTTGAAAAACCTCTCTCTCTCCTGTTAGGCCCAGGTTGGACCCATCGTCCCTGCGAAACCAGGCTGCTTTCCTTGAAGATGGGCTCTCCCCCTCCTGACACCAAAGCGCACCCACATTCTTTTCAAATTTACTTTTCTAGGCGCTACTCTGCTTGGCCCTATGGAATTTGTTCTTTCTCCCCTTTATTGCTATTCAGACCGTAAGTCCTGCTTGTCTTCTCCCCTAAAGTAACTGTTAAAGAATGTTTATGTTGAATGAAAAGTGGGCTTTTCAGTTTACCAAAATATATCAGCGGCTTTAAAAATGTTCACGTCCTTTGCTTGATAGATTCCCCTTCTAGGAATCGGACTGTAGGAAGTAATTAGAAATTGGGACAAAGATTTACGTAGAAAGATGTTCATCAGAGCAGTTTTTATAATGGCAGAAAATAAAAGCAACCTCCATGTTTGACTATAAGGGAATGTTTAAATTATGCTGTATACACAGGATGAACAATTGACAAAAAGGTTTCTGGAGAAAGACTTATGAGGTAAGTGGGAAAAAATCAGGATATGAAAAAAATCAGGATAAGAAAGGCTTATGAAGTGGGGAAAAAATCAGGATATATATATAAAAACATGCAAATATACTTGCACATCTATCTGCATGTCTAAATCAATGGAAAAAACAAAATACACAAAAGTATTGATAGTTTTCATGAGAAGCAGAATTGTTTTCTACCTTAAGTACATATTATCCATATATTTTATAAGCGACACAGAATTCACATTTGTAATGGGGGTGGGGTGGGGACTAGAACAATTAACCAAAGGAAGGTGGATTCCCTCAGCATAAATCTGGCTTCTGATGAGGTGGCTTGTGTGTTACTAGCGACATATTTGTGAAGGACCATTTTGTGTGCTGTGGGTTTTATTGTGTGCTCTTCTGTGGGACTACAGATTACGGGCTGAGCTCAGCACTTTCCGGCAGCCAGAGCCCAGCTTTGCCCAGCAGTCCCATGATTTGTGGGTCTCCTTAGGCTGACCCCGTGCCGCAGACTGCCAAGTCCTGGGCTGCTCGGGTGTGACACCTTGGATGGCTGAGGCCTCAGTCGGTCCTCTAACGGCCGGACGGTGTCTGTCTTTTGTGCAGGTGGTCCCTGGCCTTGGCTGATGAGGCTGAGCACAGCTCGGCAACCTTCAGAGGATTCCCTTTCCACACAACCAGAGCAAGCACCCCCCCCACCCCGATTCCATCTCGTGTCAGTTGTTCCTAGGTGGCCTTGTCTGCTTAACTTGGGCACCGCCCTTTGATACCTAGCTTCAGCTCTGCTGTCCTGCTTACCCAGAAATCCCACAACTCCCAAGTGTGTCTGCACGGCCATGGCCATACCCTGCACTGGGCCCCAGATTCACACTGCATTCCCTTTCCCTCGGTCACTCAGTTCCCACAACCTCCACGGGAGGCCATCCCTATCTGACAGCACAGGAAACCCGCCCATCTGCTAGAACTCTCCCAGGCTTCCAGCAGATCTGAAACCCCAACCCAGGGCTGACTGACCTCAGGGCTGGTGTTCTCGATATAAAGAGTCAGGGCACCTGGACATCCTAAGAAAGGGGTACTGGAGGCACTTCTCTCACTTTGCACGTAAATCTCTGCTTTGTCTGCTTTTCAAAGCCCATGGCTGTTCCAAGAAAGCACACTGCCCCAGAATGCCCACAGACATCTGATTTGTCACTACATCGTGGTTAGGACGAATCAAATTGGCAGCCTTTATTCAACACCTCAGACTTATGGACTTTGGACCTGGACAGTCAGTCACTCAATCTGAAGAGTCTGTAGCAGTGATGTGAATGGATTGGAAAGAGATATGTAAGGGTCTCTGAGGCCTCCCCAGACTTCGAGTCTAAGGCACATGTTGCCAGAAGAAATGATTACCCCACAGACAGGCCTTTGATTTGGGGAATGGGAAGGTGTGGGCACTTGTCCCCTGAAGGCAAGCGCTCAGGGTGAATTGTATTCCTGTCACTGTTAATAAATCAAACTGTGTGTAATATCAAAGCCAGTGTGTGGAAATTGCCCCCACAAAAATCCACTGAGATAAGGGGTTGTCTTCTGTTCCTTGACCTGTGGGAATGGGGGGGGGGGGGGAAGGTGTGCTCCAGGCCTCAAAAGGCCCTACAATTAAATGCCCATCATTTAACCTCCCCCATAGAAGAGCACATGAAAAAAATCACCCACTTGTTTAAAAGGTCAAAAGATGCTCACCTGCTATATTACAATGGTTGAATAAGTAAGAAATTGGAGTAGAGACTCACAGATGCAAAATAATCCAAAGGCAGGTGTTGTGAGCAATGGGACCAGCCAAACGTAGTGAGAAGTATGAGTTCTTGAACAATTTTTAAACTCAGTTTTATTGACTTTAAAAATATTCCCTAAGTGTTCAGTGGATGTGTCGATGAATGGGTTAGTGGATAAGCAGGTAGGTGGATAGATGGAAGTTAACACCTATCACACTTACTCTGTCCCAAGCACTCTAAGTACTTTATAAGCTCATTCAATTCTAAAAATAATCCTATGAGATAAGTACTGTTAGTATCCTTGTTTTAAAGTTGAAGTCACACAGGTGTTGAATGGCAGAGCCAGGATTTGAATCTAAGGTGCCTGGTTTTAAAGCCCTAGTTCTTCTTCATGAATGCACGCGTCAGTGAAATGCTTCAGTATCCTTTCATTACACTCATATTCTGCGGCTAGAGTGTTTGAAAAGTCTGCTCTGTAGTTATATCTGCTCCTTCAAAATTAGGAAACAAGGCCAGTGTTTCATGGATGGGGACACTGAGGCCCAGAGAAGGATGGATCTTGGCTCCAGCCCCACAGCAGCCTGTGGCCAACCGCGGCAGGAATTCAGACCTCTCCGTGGCCCCTCCAGTTTCTCACTTTCTATTCCACAACCAGTCTGATGCTCCCATGCATACTCCTCTCTCTGACCCGTATCCAGATTCCTTCCAAGGTTGCACAGTAGAAGAGCCTCAACTGATCATTTACATCCGCTCTCTCTCCAACAGGAGGTATCCCAGAGACCCTCCCCACTGAGGTTTCACGGTGGCTTAGAGCTGCCAGCACTCTAGGAACACAGCCTTTGCCACTTACTGAAGCAGGAATCACCTTCCAGAAGGACCAGAGATCCTTTGGTTTTCCCCTGTCCACATTAGCCCATTCAGAGGGCCATGAACTTGAACAGTGCCAGGAAAATCCTGGAAGGGCCTCTGGGTTCTGATGCACATACAGTTCCCACCAGCAGGAGGCAGCAGAGCTCAGCAGTTACAAATACCCCACCCCGAGGCTGGCTGGCGGGTTTGAATCCTGCCTCCGCCTAGACGGGTGACCTCAAGCAGGTCACTAGCCTCTCCAGGCCCGTTTCCCTCTCCGCAGACGCGTCACAACCGAGTAACGCCTCCCTCATGAAATCGTTCCGAGGATCAAATGAGATTAAACCCATAAAGTGCTTAGCCATGGTGCTCACAGCGAGCACCCAGCAAACGTTAGGCATCCTTTTATCACCGCAACCATCATTCTGTTAGAACAAATGCCAAAGGATTAGCCACATTGATCAGTTGTTCTAGAGCTTTGCTATATTGAAAACAGATGAAAAGGTCAGTAGCTGTTGATTATCCGAAGAACCTTTATGATGAGTTTTTACTTATAAAAAGTACCAGGTGTTAGGGCTGAAATAGATTTTGACGAAGGTGGTGACTTGCCTGAGGCCCACAGCTCGTTAGTACCTGGGATTCCACAACCTTACCTTCTATCCGAAGGTTCACAGCCGTCTTTGGACCGCCGTGCCCTGGGGTCCAGCCACCGTAGACACACTTGATATAACACTAGAGGGGAGTAAAAGGAAAGCTGTTGTCTATTTCCTGATATTTGCCAATATCAAAAGATTTATTGATTAAATCATTACTTACAACAGTATATGTCCCTGAAGCACCTTCAGATTGACTTGCACGCTTTTTCCTCTGTCATGAACACACAGACATGGAGCTCCCAGTACATTCCAAGAAAAGCAGCTTGTGCAATTTCAAAACGGAATAGGATGCTGTCTTTACTGGCCGTGACCCTTCTCTAACCTTGTCGGGATCCACCCTTGTTTTTCCAGCTGGGCCTGAGCTGAAGCTCCTCTGCGGGGCAGATGTCCTGAAGACCTTCCAGACCCCCAACCTCTGGAAAGACGCACACGTCCAGGAAATAGTGGAGAAGTTTGGCATAGTGTGTGTGAGCCGGACAGGTCACAACCCAAAGGAATACATCTCGGGCTCACCTATCCTGCACAGGTACCGGCACAACATTCACCTGGCCAGGGAGCCCGTGCAGAATGAGCTCAGCTCCACGTACGTCCGGCAGGCCTTGAGCCAAGGGCACAGCGTGAAGTACCTGCTCCCAGATGCTGTCATCGCCTACATCAAGGACCACAACCTCTACACCAGGGACAGCTCCTGAAAAGGCAGTAGCACCCAGAGGAATGAAGGAAAGCCAAGCTGGGGAGAGCCAGCCCCTCCTCCACGGAGCTCCTCCTAAGGGCAGTTAGGGTCTCGGCTCTTTCCTTCCTTTCTTTCCCACTTTTCCTTCCTTTTATCTAGGCAATCCGTTTATTTCAGAGGTGTCTTCTGTCCCAGGAAGAGATACCTTCTTTTGGGAGAAGCAAGTGCCTACATCTCAAGAATGGACATTTACCAAAGAGGCTAACATGGCACGACAGGTCACCAGAACTAGACCACAGCTCTCAGAACCTCTCGCTGCAGAGGCCTCCTTATTCGATAAATGGGGACTTGGGCACGCGCACTGAAGGCAGTTCTGCGCGAGGCAGGGCCCCCTGAGGGTCAGATCAGAACTGCCCACACGCGCTTTTTAACTAGGACCAGATGCAGCATGCTGGTCTTGATTGGAGAGCCTTGACAGGATGCTAATTACCAAACGGTGGGCTTTGTCAACGCCTTGTTCCAGCAAAATAATACTAATTGAGGAGTCAAAAATTTGGAAGCAGCTCTTTGCCAATTTACATTGAATCTTCCCTCAAGAACCACCGTCTGCCCAGGCTGTAGATAAAATTTAAACTGAAATCCTTCTAAGGAGCGGCCCTCAAACAATATTTTTGATACAGCAGATATTCTTAACACGACTTTTTTTAAATATATAAATACCAGGGCTCCTGATTTCCAGGTTTCTAAAAAAGGAACTGAGGTAAAACAGATGCCTTGACTATTTTAGAGGATCTTTTTTGAATGTTTTATGACCGCCTGCCTGTTTGAATATTGGCAAAGGGATAAATAATAAATTGACATCAAAAAATACTAATGAAAAGTTTCTTTTTTTCTTCCTTTGTTATATTATTAATGCCCGATGTACCAGCTGTTGCTCTTCTTTTTAGGTACCCCATGAAATTTGCTACTGTTCCAATGGAACTGACATGAATTTAAAAGTTTCTATTTCCGGGTACCAGCAGTGGAGGAAGCAGGTGCTTCTCAGCACCTTGCAAAGAGTGCTCTAATCTGAAGCTGTGGGTCGATGGCTCTGTTCAGGTGGGCCCTAAAGGATGAGCAGAGGAGCCCACAGGTGTTCAGGATTTGTTATTCCAGGCCTGCTTAAGAAGACGTTTTAATTGGCCTAATTCTGTTGGAGTTTACTCCTTACACTTGCTGACCAAATAACTGCATGAACTCAGAATTTACTTCTCCAGACTTTTACCTTGATTCATCCTTGCTATAGCTCTGTAGTCATGCAGAAAAACAAAGGGCCAGTCAGGAGGACTCTAATACCTCCCCAAACATACTCCAGTGTTTGTGTGCATGTCGTGCTAGAGAGGAATAAAACAGACCATCAGGATTTCCTGGGTCTAAATCAGTGGAGCCCTCCGATTAGGGGGGAGAGTCCCTAGATCCCCACTGCTGCAACCTCTAGGGCTGCTGGCCATTCCTCGCCCTGAGTTCTGTACCCCAAGGGGTCTCTAAGAACCTTGATAATGCAGGGGAATAGGAACCAAACAGCCTTGTCTGCAGCAAGCTGTGTGACTTTCACCAAGCTCCCTTCCCTACCATGCGCCTCAGTTTCCCAAACTCTGAAATGGGGCAGCTCGACTAGATACTCTAAATTCTATTCTAGCTCTGATTCCCTGAGGCTCTTAGTGCCCTCCTTCAGCCTGTCCGCGCTTTTTCCGGGTCCAATTCACTTCTGGCCATACTGGCAATTCTCCAAGGTCAGAGGGTCTTTGTTTTGTTTGCTGACATATCCTAAGTGCCAAGAACTTTGCTGTCCCAAACACGGTCACAGGATGCGGTGTTTGCATCCCGTGGGAACTGGACAGAAATGCAGACTCTCAGGCTCTACCCCAGACCTACTGACTCAGAATCTGCATTTTAATAAAATTCCCAAGCCAGTCCATGTACTGGCCTACAACAGTGCCTGTTACAACAAATTTGAGTTTTATTTCTAGGAGACTGAATACACGATGGAAATGTATGATTGCATCGCATTTACTCCTCCTTACCCTCTGAACAGCATTTTCCCTACTGTTCTGTATGGAGTATAGAAAGCAAACATCCAGAGTGTCCAGAAAAAGGGGTAGTGAGGGATCCTGTGGGTTTGAAACAGAGTCTCTCAACTTAAGCGGTATTGACATTCCAGGCAGATCATCCTTTTCCTTTGAGGGGCTTCCCTGTGCAGTTAGGATGCTGAGCAGCATCCCGGCCTCTCTCCATTCCATGCTGGGAGTACCCACCACCACCTCTAAGTGTAACAACAAAAATGCCCCCTAGACCTTGCTAAATGCCGCCTGGGGCACAAAATAATCACCCTGGTTGAGACCCTCTGGTTTAAGGATATGGAGAGGGGTGGGGAAATATATGCAAGGAGGGGTTCGTGCCTTTCTCAACAGGGAAAATCAGCAGGCAGATTTAGAAAATACCATCCTCTCATAAGGGACTAGTTTGAGAGGTGTCCCCACCATTCACGAAGTCCTATTTGTTCTGGGGGACACAGTGGTATTTACAGTGGGAATTAGAAGCCA